ATGCCATGGTGCGCTTTGAAGATGATAATCAACACCTTGAAGCGCACCCGGAAGGCCACAGGCAGCCAGTGCAGCTCGCGCAGCAGCGGCGTTACATGGGAGCGACGAGTCGCTCCCATCACCGCCCGCGCGGCCGCATTCTGGACCAACTGGAGCCTCCGAGTGCTCCTCAAGGGGAGCCCCATGTAGAGAGCATTACCTTTACCTTTATTTTTTTAATACACACACACACACATATGCAGTGTTATCTTCATTTTAGATGTCAAAAGGGTTTTGCGGCTCCCAGTGTTTTATTTTTGGTGGGAAACGGGTCCAAGTGACTCTTTGAGTGTTTTGGGTTGCCTACCCCTGGATTAGACATCCATTTGTCTGGGATGATATAAGGACTCCTCCTTGACCACTAGAAGAGGAGTAGAAGACCTCCAAGGTCCCTTCTAACGTTGTCTTAAGGGCTCTTTCCAACAAAGAGAGGACCGGAGATACTAAAGGAGATATTTCTGCTTCTATCCCTCCTTCGCTCCTCCTACGGTTTTGCTCTTCATTCTGTTTTTATTCTGCCTGTTGATACTGCAAAGCCTTCCACCTGAGAGCAGTTTTGCATCATTGCTTCTTTTTTTAAAAAAGAAAACCTTAAGCGCCTGTCTCCCTGTCCTCCTTCCAGGCAGTCAGAGCCGAGGGTGCCAGTGTGGTGGTGCACTGTTCGGACGGCTGGGATCGCACGGCCCAGGTCTGCTCTCTGGCTTGTCTCCTCCTGGATCCCTTTTATCGGACATTGAAAGGATTCATGGTAAGCAGAAGATCTTTCGGTTGGATCCGCTTTATAAGTGCTTCACACCCTGGTGCACCTCTACGGTCCTATGCCTGCATGCAGGCAGTTCTCGCTTAGCGACTGTCTAAAAATATGATGAAAAGGGACTTTGCGATCAAGCTTCGCATTTACGACATTTGCAGGGCTCTAACGCAAAGGAAAACTGAAGTCAGATCATAAACACAGTCGCTGTTTCACTTAGCGACCATTTCATTTAACTTCCATGTTGCCGGACCCAGTTGTAGTCGCTAAATGAGGACAGCCTGTACATGCGTAAAGGTACATTTGTGTAACGTGGATGCATGTGTTAGTGTGTAAATATATAGTACATGTACATTTAGTCCTCGACTTGCAGCCGCAACTGAGCCCAGCGTTTCTGCTGCTAAGCGAGACATTTGTTAAATGAGTTTTGCCCCATTTCATGACATTTCTTGCCACAGTTGTTGAATGCATCATTGCAGAATCTGGCTTCTTCTCCACTGACTTTGCTTGTCAGAAGTGTCACAAAAGGGGATCGTGTCCCCCCGGGAACACTGCAAAACGTCATAAATGCGAGCCGGTTGCCAAGCCTCTGAATTTTGATCACGTGACCCTGGGGATGCTGCAAGGGTCACAAGTGTGAAAAACGGTCATCAGCCACTTTTTCCAGGGTTGTTGTAACTTTGAACGGTCACTAAATGAATTGTTGGAAATCGATCACCAAAATTATTGTGCCTGCATTATGTAATATACCAGGGGTCTCCAACCTTCACCACTTTAAGACTTGTGGACTTCAACTCCCAGAATTCCTCAGCCAGGCTGGCTGAGGAATTCTGGGAGTTGAAGTCCACAAGTCATAAAAGAGCTAAGATTTTCCACCCCTGCTATAGGGCAATGAACGCCAGAACAACTAGACACAAGGACAGTTTCCCCCCCCCCCCCATGCCATCACTCTGCTAAACAATTAATTCCCACAACACTGTCAAACTCCCTAGTAGAGCTGTATTACTGTTACTCTCCTCATCTTCCCTATTGTCTATCTCCTTATCTTCTTAGGACTATAACTTGGTTGCTTGTATCTTACGATTTATATTAATTGTTTTATTTAGTATCCTAGTATGATTTATGTTGTTTGCTTATTTAGTATCCTCTGGCTATCATGGGGTGTTGTACCTTATGACTTACGATGAGTGTATTTTTGTGATGATTATGATCATGGTTTATCACCTGTGGCTTGTATGTACACTAAGAGCTGCTGCACCGGAGACAAATTCCTTGTGTGTCCAATCACACTTGGCCAATAAAGAATTCTTTTTTTTTTATAATAATTTTTATTATCATTTTCCTTTATACAGCTCTAGTACATATTCAGCAGACTGTGGCATTTTTGTATCAACATTCTATACAATATATACACTATATACATTCAATATCTAACCCACAATAGCCTTATGTATATTTCCAATTTTTGTTTCTATTGTCTATCCAAGTATACCATTTTTCCCAAACCGCGTAAAATTCCGAATCATCTTTTTCTTTTAATTCTAGACTGAGTTTGTCCATTTCGGCACATTCATATATTTTCTGAATGATCAATCCCTCTGGTGGTATATTGCGTTCCTTCCAGTATTGCGCGAACGCAATTCTTGCCGCAGTTAATATATGTAAGATCAGTAAAGAATTCTATTCCATATACGGTCGTAGAATCAATCCTATGATCATATCGTAGCCGGCTGTGGAATTCTGGGAATTGAAGTCCACTGGTCTTAAAAGTTTCCAAAGTTGGACACCCTTGCTTCAGCCTTTTCTGTACCCCGCACGCCTAGAACGCGTCTGATATAGTCTCGCACCCCTTACAAAAGTTCAAAATAACGGCAACGAATTATGCATGTACACTATAATTTTGAAAACCCAAGTTTCTGCACCCCCTGGAATATCGTCTGGCACCCCCAGGGGGTGCGTGCACCCCCGCTGGGAACCCCTGCTTCAAAGAAAGGTTCTTGGAGAGCCAAGGATCCTTTCACCAAGCATGTTTAGACTCTTCTCTTGCTGTCTCTTCCTCTCCAGTCGGTTTCCACCAGTCTTTCAACAGAAAGGACACATGGAATGCCTCAATGACGGTTATCTATTTTGCACAAAAGCCACCGGGGAAGCAGGGTTTATCTAGAAATTCCTGGACCAGCCCTGGTATGCAAAACATTTCCAGTTTAGAACAGCCCTGGCATACTTTTTCTCTAAGCTGTTCCCATGTTTGGAAGAATTCCAAACCCCAAGTGGCCCCGTTTTAAGCTCTGAGCATTTCAAATGTGAAATAGCTTGCGCGCCCTTAATAAATCCTTGTCATAAATAAAGACATCTCTCTGAGGAGCATCCCAGGCTGAGGAAAGATATTTTGGAAGATGTTTTGAGCGTGTACACAGCTGCCTGACTTAGGCACTAGGAGGAACAAAAGCTGGAGGCGCAGCAAATTTGGGGGAGGGGAAATCCTGTTTTTGTAGCCCGAGACTGCTTTGTCCTCTTCCTTTAGGTCCAATTTCTTTTTAAAATTGAAATTACTTACCTTCGTTTGAGAGCACCGAAATAATTTCATCTGCCCGCATGGATTTTGCCATGGATGATACAATGGGGAATATTTGTTGCTTTTATTACGTGCTTCAATGCATATACAATGTTTTCCTGAAAATAAGACTGGGTCTTATATTAATTTTTGCTCGAAAAGATGCATTAGGGCCATGGTGGCGAACCTATGGCACGCGTGCCACAGGTGGCACGCAGAGCCCTCTCTGTGGGCACGCGTGCCGTCACCCCAGTCCTAGGCCTTCAGCTGGGTTTTATACAACCTTTTCGCTTTAGGCCTACGCCGCCGTTTGCAAAAAAAAAAAAAAAATAGGTTCAATCAATCAATTTCAACTTCTCACGGAAAAAAAAAATCTTGCAAAGTTGGAATTGATTGATTGAACTTTTTAGTCCCACCCAGTCTGCTGTTACCACTGCAGCCATGCCCACCCAATGGGCCACACCCCACCCAGTGGGCCATGCCCATCTGGCACCCGACGATACATAAGTGGGTTTTAGGTTGTAGTTTGGGCACTCGGTCTCTAAAAAGTTCGCCATCACTGCATTAGGGCTTATTTTCTGGGTAGGTCTTATTTTCAGGGAAATACGGTACTAAATGCGTCTGTTTGGCTGACGTTCTTAACTGGGGCTTATTTGGGGGATAGGGCTTATATTACGAGCACCCTTAAAAAGAAATCACGCTAGGGCTTATTATCCGGTTAGGTCTTATTTTCAGGGAAACAGGGTAGGTAGTTCTCGACTTAGAAAAGTTCGTTTAGTGGCCGTTCCGAGTTACAACGATACTGAAAAAAGTGACTTATGACCATTTCTCACACTTATGACCGTTGCAGCATCCCCAGGGTCACGCGATTTTCATTTGGATGCTTTACCGCTGACTCACATTTATGACGGTCGGAGTGTCCCCAGGTCACGTGATCCCCTTTGGTGACCTTTCTGACAAGCAGAGTCGATGGGGAAGCCAAATTCACTTAACAGTCGTGTTAACAATTTAACAACTGCAGGGATTCACTCAACAAAGGTGGTCAGAAAAGTGGTAAAGTGGGGCAAAGCTCACTCAACAAATATCTCACTTAGCAACCTAAATTCTGGGCTCAATTGTGATCGTAAGTCGAGGACTACCTGTATTTGGTTGTGTTTCCTTTACCTTTGAGTTATTCTTGTTAACCATTTTGACTGCGGTCTGTTGGTTGAAAGGATGGGCTTGGTTGTTTGCTTGCAGACATTTTATTATCCAAAGTACAGTAGTGGCCAAAATTGTGGAAACCTTTTGGAAAAAGTGTATTTTTGAGGTTTGATGGCTAATAACACCACTTTTTTTGGGAGTAGTACCATAAAATTATATATCGATGGAAAGATAATTTAATCAAGAATGTAATGAAACATAGTTTGTTCAATTATCTGTACTGTATTCTATGAAAAGTTATAGCCAAATAACCAGAAAAGGAAGCACAACTTGCTTAGGTCGATATCAGGTAGCTTTCCTTCATCTGATTGTAGCCAATGAGCACGAGTGTTTAGAGAACCAATCAGGTGTCATCTTGTTTTGGCAATGAGCCAATCAGATCACAATAGGATTCAGTTATTGATGTCATGTATTGAAGCTAAGAGGAGGACATTTGTCAGTGTGTTATGTGATCGTTATCAAGTTGGTTGGGTTTTCTTGTGTTCTTTCATTGAGTGAGCTTGTAAAACATAATAAAATTAAAGTAATGGTGCAAAGAGATGACTGGTTGCCCAGAAAGCGATATAAAATAGTATTATTAAGTGAACAAGGCTACAGTTATAAAGAAATTAGAAGAAAAATGGGTGGAAACTTAACCAAAGGTGGCATTTCCATTTCTACGGTACACTTTTCCCAAAAGGTTTCCACAATTTTGGCCACTACTGTATGTAGAACAGACAGGCTGTCATGGTTCCAGTAGATGAGACCAATTAAAATAACTTCAAGGCAAGGAATTCTTCCTCAAAGGACATTTTTATTTGGCTACAAAATAAGGGCACATACAAAGGTGAACCCAAGACTAAATTCCCCTCCCCTTGGTTACAAAGATACAAATTGCAATTCCCACCCCAATTAGGTATCATAAATCACATTCACCAATTGTTAGAAAAACATGGGCTCTCCTCCCAGCTCTCCAACCCAGCCAAAATGTTATCAGCAATGACCTTGGTTCCCATAGATTTGAATTGTTTTGGCTAACTGAGAACTACACCCCCCCCCTCCTCCTAAACTAATTATGTGGCAAGGAAGATGAAATGAAAATGGCTTCAGTTCAGTTTGTCACAGCGTTGACACAGGCAGAAGATTAGCAGAGCGCTTGCATGAACCCCAACTAGCAGTCAAACGACAGGATGACGGTCCTGATTCAACCATAGTTTCCACTGGGAATCCGTGAGTATCCTAGACCAAGCTTAATTTAAAAACCCTAGGGAATTCCTAGAAGCTTGGCATTTAGACAAATCAGCTATTAATAGACACCTAGAGATAAATCACATTTACATGCTATTCAAAAGAGACTAGAAAAAACTAAGAAGAAACAAACAACAAAAAACCAGAACACATCCTCTGCAGCAACCAACACCAGATAAGCAGGGATTAACACCAGACAAATAAGCAAAAAACAATACCCTAATCAAGGAGCTACCACGGAGAAATCCATACTCTCACCAACAGTGGCAGGGCAAGCTACTGTATATAAACAGGGAGCAAAGTCCACCCTCACTAGCACTGATGCTGTTACCTGGTTGGGTAATGAAATGTCTACAAGAAAACAACTAAGCTCAGAGAACACCAAGGGGCCCAGAAAACAACCGTGAGTTACACCTTTTCTCTTCCATTGTTAGTGGGAAGGTAGGATTTGAATGCCACCAATAAAGCCACTTTATAATGCCATATTTCTATCTTTTTCCCTCTTGTTCTTTCATCTAACATTAAAGGTTTTGATAGAGAAGGAGTGGATTGCGATGGGCCATAAATTCTCACACAGGTAAAAACATGTTTGTGTATTAAAATTATGGCAAAAAGAAATAGCTCCTAAACTAGAGCTTACTTTTTTTTTTCTTTTTTTTTAAAGCAAGACATAAAAGAGAAATGATATGGGGGAAGGCAAAAGGAAAATAAGAATTAAAAATTAGGAATATTCAAACTTTTTCTCACAGTCCTTCACAGAGTGGACTGTAAAGATGATGGAATTGGCAGAAATTGATTTGTTTGATCAGGGACAAGATAACAAGTAGTTTTATTAAAGTCTGGAAGCCTTTTAGGGACTTACTGCAGAGAATGGCAAAAATGGTTTTGCTGATTTATGGATCTGCTGATTTAAAATGGGTTGAATAATAATGGGAAGAAGAGAAATAGGTAATTTTGAAAACTGGCTTGTAACTGCTGTAAAAGAGATTCGGAGTCATTACATACTTTTCTTGATTCTATTTGCACTTTTCTCCCTTATAATTTTCTCGCTTTTTCATTTTACTTCTTCTTTAATTTCACTTTATGTTTATCCTTGGCATCCAAGAGGAATTTTTAATGAAAATTATTATTTAAAAAAAGAACATCCCAACAACTGTTCTTTGGCTAGATCTCACGGTTGGATAATTGCTGGTGGAGAGGAAGACTCAAATTATTTGGGGACAGATGAAACTAGGGCTAAAAGGGATTAGTTCCCCCTTCCCACATCTTTTCATCCGTTATCTCTGCCCCAGTTTCACTTTACCAGGTTCTTTCTGTGGCCGCTTAATCTCATTTCATACCTTTCAGCAAAGCAGGACTGACTTCTACATAGCAGGCTTAACAGAATCTGTTTAGAATGGGGGGGGGGAGAAAGGGACCGACAGCAGCCAAAAAAGCTAATACATTCCTGGGCTATATAAACAGAGGGATAGAATCAAGATCACGTGACGTATTAGTACCGCTTCATAAAACCCTAGTGAGACCACACCTGGAATACTGCAGCCAATTTTGGTGACCATACTACAAAAAAGATGTTGAGACTTCGGAAAAAGCTCAGAGAAGAGCAACTAAGATGATCCAAGGCCTGGAGACTAAAACATACGAAGAACGGCTGCGGGACTTGGGTTTGGCTAGTCTAAAGAAAAGAAAAAATAGGGTAGCAGCGTTTCAGTATCTGAGGGGCTGCCGCAAAGAAGAGGGGATTAAATTATTCTCCAGAGCACCAGAGGGCAGGATAAGAAACAATGGTTGGAAACTGACCAAAGAGAGAAGCAACCTGGAATCAAGGAGAAGCTTCCTGACTGTGAGGACAATTAACCAGTGGAACAGCTTGCCTCCAGAAATTGTGGGTGCTCCCTTATTGGAGGTCCACTAGACAGTCACTTGTCTGAGATGGTATAGATTCTCCTGCTTAAGCAGGGGGCTGGCTAGAAGACCTCCAAGGTCCCTTCCAGATTTCTATCCTATCCTGTCCTATCCTATCCTATCCTATCCTATCCTATCCTATCCTATCCTATCCTATCCTATCCCTTGTGGAGCTGTTGGCATTTTGCAATTCTGCATGACATTTTGCAAATACAGGTAGTCCTTGACTTATAACCATTCATTTAGCAACAGTTCAAGGTTACGATGCCTTCAGAAAAAGTGACTTACAACTATACTTGCAGTTGCAATCATTGCATCGGCACTGCAGTCACATGATTGCAACGTGGCATTTGGCATCCGGCTTGCATTTACGACCAGTTGCAGCTTCCTGCGCTCGTGTGATCATGATTGGCAATATTTTTTGCACATGTCCAGCCCCCCAAAAAAGTGCCCATTGGGGAAGTAGGATTTGCTTAACAGCCTTGTGATTCACTTAACGACTGCCATAAAAATTGTAACATTGGCTCCAACTCAAACGTATGACCACAGCGACTTGGGACTGAAAATTCCGGTCCCAATTTGAGAACTACCCGTATTTATTTTGTGTTTGGCCCTAGAGCAGCTGAGATCAATTTAGCTTCAGCATCCTTGCGGCACCACCTACCAATGAGGAAACAGGATTGACTGCAATTTAAGATAATTTATTTTGATAATTACCTTCCCTTAAATGAATGGTTCAGCATACTAAAAAGCAGAGACATCACCCTGCCAATAAAAGTGTGTATAGTCAAGGCCACGGTTTTCCCAGTTGCAATGTATGGCTGTGAAAGTTGGACCATAAGAAAGGCCGAGCACCAAAGAATGGAGGCCTTTGAACTCTGGTGCTGGAGAAGACTCCTGCGAGTCCCCTGGACTGCAAGGCGATCAAACCAGTCAGTCCTAGAGGAGATCAACCCTAACTGCTCTTTGGAAGGCCAGATCCTGAAGTTGAAACTCAAGTACTTTGGGCACCTAATGAGAAGGAAGGACTCACTGGAGAAGAGCCTAATGCTGGGAAAGATGGAGGGCAAGAGAAGAAGGGGACGAAAGAGAATGAGGTGGCTGGATGGAGTCACTGAAGCAGAAGGCGTGAACTTAAATGGACTCCAGAAGATGGTAGAGGACAGGAAGGCCTGGAGGAACATTGCCCATGGGGTCGCAATGGGTCGGACATGACTTCGCAACTAACAACAACAAAATGAATGGTTATAAGCCGAGGACTACCTGCACACACTTGCAAACAAAACCATCAGCACCACACTCATTGTCTTGCTGCTGCTTGTTTTTTTGGTCTCTCCAGGTGTGGCCATCTTGAGGGAGATCCCAAGGAGGTGTCTCCAATCTTCACCCAGTTCCTTGAGTGCACCTGGCAGCTCATGCAGCAGTTCCCTTGTGCGTTCGGCTTCAACGAGCGGCTGCTGCTTGAAATTCACGATCACGTCTATTCCTGCCAGTTTGGCAACTTCCTAGGGACCTGTCAGAAGGACCGAGAAGATCTAAAGTGAGTCCTATACGCAGAATCGTGAGTTTCCTCTGTTTCATAGAATAGCTGTGGTGGCACAGTGATTAGAATACAGCACTGCAGGCTGATTCTGCCCACTGCCAGGAGTTCGATCCTGACTGGCTCAAGGTTGACTTAGCCTTCCATCCTTCCAAGGTCAGTAAAATCAGGACCCAGATTGTTGGGGGCAAATATGCTGACTCTGTAAACCGCTTAGAGAGGGCTGTAAAGCACCGTGAAGCAGTACATAAGTCTAAGCATTATTGCTATTGCTGTAACTGATTGGATGTTGCATTAGGAGCCATGGTGGCACAGTGGTTAGAATGCAGTACTGCAGGGAAACTTTGCTCACTGCCAGCAGTTCGATCCTGACTGGCTCAAGGCTGACTCAGCCTTCCATCCTTCTTAGGTCGGTAAAATGAGGACCCAAATTGTTGGGGGGCAATATGCTGACTTTGTAAATCGCTTAGAGAGGGCTGTAAAGCACCGTGAAGCGGTATATAAGTCTTAAGTGCTATTGCTATTAACCTTAAGAACAAAATTCTCTTATCTTTTCGGAGAAGGATAGATAACCTTTATTGTCATTTTTTACCGTGGCCACAATGGCACACATTAAAAATGAAATTTACTTGCTTGCTCTCAAAGTGTACACGTACATAACACACATTTAAACATGCTATATACAACATATGTATAGACCTACCCCCTTACATATAAGCAACATATGAGAGTTTGATGCATGTAAATGCGTGGCACACAAGTGAGCTTTGGGGGGGGGCTCTCCTAGAGCTACATGCAGTGTTCCTACTGCATCCACGTAGATCTTTTTTAAAAGTTTTAATGACAAATTCATGGGAGAAAAGAGTCTCATGAAAGGCCCACAGCTGGGAAATATGTGGGTTCTTGGAGACATCAGGTTGGAAACGGGATGTTAGAGAGATAAAGTTTTAACCTAGTTTAACAAGGCTTTTAAACCAAGATTTGGATTTGTCCCAAGTAAATTGGAGCAGATCTTTGCTTAGTACTGGTAGTCCTTGACTTGTAACTAGTGGCTTAGTGACTGTTCAGTGACGATGGACCCCCTCCACCCAAAAGGTCTTCCAGCCCAGTTCTGGTGCCTCCCAAGGTCATGTGACTGCATGTCAGGTGCTTGGCACCTGGTCCCCATTTGCGGCTTTCAGCATCCCAAACTCACCTGACCATAATTTACAAGGCTTTTGTTGAAACCTCCATTTATTTCTGCCTTTCAGCAAACATACCCCATAGCGAACAATGGGTCTGCTTGATACCACAGCATTCACTTGATGACCACAGCAAAAATGGTGGTGACCTGTTTTACAGCCATCGTGGTTTACAGCCATAATGGTCAGGCTCCCTAAGTCGAGGGCCACCTGTTTCTCAGTTAGCCATAGTTTCATTCCATACAGCATTAACCTTGTGAACTCTCAAGCTTCCTCCTTCTGTTATATATTCAAGTTGGACAGTATTTAATATTTATTTGCTACATATATGTAGGGATGTGGGTCTATTCATATGTTGTTCATAGTATGTTTAGGTGTGTGTCATGTATGTGTTTCACTTTGAGCGCGGGCAACTAAATTTCATTTTTGATGTGTGCCGTTGTGCCCACAGTATAAAAATGACAATAAAGGTTATCATCTTATCTTATCTTATCTTATCTTATCTTATCTTATCTTATCTTATCTTATCTTATCTTTACGTTGCCAAGGTTGAGAAACACGGCTCTAATATTAGCAGCTTCAAGACTGGGTGGGGTGCGGATGGGAGACCACCGGGAGTTCCTGGAGAATTGAGAATTGAAAAAAACACCCCAGGAGAAAACATTAGGGCTGACTGGGGAATTCCAGGAGTTGAAGTCCACCCATCTTAACACTGCTAAGGTTGGGAAACACGGCGTTAGCCGATGAAGCAAATAAGAAAGAAATAATTCTGTCTGTCCCGAAACTTCATCGTAAGGAATCGGTCTGCAGCTCCAGTGAGCAGTGATAAAGTGAGAAGAAATTGCAATTAAATGTACAATTGATACGGTGGCCCTCCTTTTTTTGAATTAACTATTCGATACTGTACAATCTCCAAGGGCAGTCCCCTAGTAATCCAAACGACAGGCTCCCCGTCGTGGAGAGATGTTTTGCAGCTGTGCTGATGTTCTTCTTTGCTCTCTTTCTTCTTTGCAGGATCTTCGAGAAAACGCACTCCCTGTGGCCGTTTCTTCTGCAGAGGAAGCTGGAATTCAGAAATCCGCTCTATAAGGGATACGCCGCTTACTCCTCTCTCCAGCCCAACACGCTGCCATTCAGTTTCCAGTAAGTTATCACTGGGGAAGGGAGAAGCTTGAACCCGGATAACCCCAGTCTGCATGCCGCTTAATGTTTACGTCTGAATCTAGTCACTTTGGAACCACCGTACAGAAAGTCCAAACTTTTAGCTATTAAGTGAGTTTTGCCCCATTTTACGACCTTTCTGGCCACTGTTGTTAAGTGAATCACTGCAGTTGTTAAATTAGTAACACGGTTGTTAAGTGAATCTGGCCTCCCCATTGACTTGCTTGTCAGAAGGTTGCAAAAGGGGATCCCAGAACCCCAGGATGATGCAACTGTCATAAGTCAGTTGCCAAGCGGCTGAATTTTGATCACGTGACCATGGGGATGCTACAATAGTCGTAAGTCACTTTTTTCCAGTGCCGTTGTAACTTTGAACGGTCACTAAAAGAACTGTTATAAGTCAAGGACTACCTGTAGCAATCACAATAGCATTTAGACTTAATACAGTGATGGCGAACCTTTTAGAGACCAAGTGCCCAAAAACCACCCCCGCTCCGCCCCATCCTGCCCCCAGCCTGCTCCGCCCCCGTCCTGTCCATCCGCAGGGCCACTCACCGCCTCCAGAACCTGCCGCAGATCGTCCAGGCAGCCCAGCAGCGCCATGGTAGCCATGCCCTCAGCCCACACCCTGCAGCATCATCTGTGTACAATGGAGTGCGAGGGCGGAGTCTTGTCCCAGCTGCCCGGCTCCATGTGCTTGGCTGCGCTGCTCCGCGTGGGCCGTGCTCAGGGGCGACTCTCCTCTGGGGGGGCTGCTGGTGAGTAGGGGGCTGCGGGGGAAGACGGGGCTGGGACGACAGCACGTGTGCCCACAGAGAGGGCTCCGAGTGCCGCCTCTGGCACGCGTGCCATAGGTTCGCCACCACTGACTTAATACTTCTCCATAGTGCTTTACACTGAGTAGTTTACATCCCCAACAATCTTGGTCCTCATTTTACCGACCTCAGAAGGATGGAAGGCTAAATCAACGTTGAACCAGTCAGGATCGAACTCCTGGCAGTGGGCAGAGTCAGCCTGCAATGCTGCATTCTAACCACTGTGCCATCACGGCTCTCTCTCTTTTTTTTTTGAGGTAACCAGCATTAAACTACAAATCCTTGCTTGGGTTGTAATAGGAAACTGCAGTTAAAGGTTTTTGAGATTATAGCATAAGGGAAGCGGGAGGTACTGTAGATGCAATGGTAGAAAATGTTTATTTACTGATTAATCAAGTTTGGTTTATCAAACCAAGGTTTATGGCCAAAGCATCCCCAAAGGTTGCTCTGTGACATCTGGAGAACTTAATCTCTAGGCGATGAAACAACTGTGTCTTAATTGCACAATCCCAAGGGAGCCTAAAATCACACACCAGCTCTTCAAATCACACAGCCGTTTGCTTCATGGACTGAAGTAAGCTGTAATTGCCTTTTTCTGCCTGAAACGAGGATTTTATGCCAACCCACTTTTCACTTAGCTGGAAATTCTGTTGCAAGCTGAAATTGTGTCAGCAATAGCTGATCCATCTAAGATTGATGGTTTTCAAACTACGGATCCACATCAGTGCAGGTTGACGCTGATGTTGGGCAGCGGAAAGGAAACCAGGTTCCTTCTTCCAAGCTTGCAGCTTGGTTACATCAGAGCTACTGGAATTAAGCTTGCTTCTTCCTTTAAGGCAGTGATTCTTAACTTTGGCAACTTGAAGGTGTGAATCCCCCAGCCAGCAAAGAGAAAAGAAGAGGAGAACTTTCTCCTGCTCCCTTCTCTGGCAAATGTGAACATTTGAAGAATCTCTCAGCTATTAATTTTGTGTTACTTTCTCTCTCTCTCTGAGGTTCTGGTGCGGCATGTATAACCGTTTCGATAAAGGGATGCATCCCAAACAGTGTATTCTGGATCACCTGCTTAGCTACAGCAGCGAGACTTTTCAGTTGGAAGACAACGCTGCAGACCTGGAAAATGTGAGTCAAACGCACACGATGTCCTTTGAACCCCCAACGTCATTTTGTAACCTCTCTTAAGGAGCAGAAGCGTCCCCAAATTGTATCTAGAAGAAAAATAATAGGGGGACGTTAGCAGTTCATTCAGCCTTTTTCTCTGGCTCGGACTATACAAGACCAGTTCCTTCTTTACTACAATTTAAGAAGGGGCTGAAAAGCACTGGCTGGGTTGGTTTTTCTGGTTTTATTTGCTGTAGTTTGTTTTTTGTCTAGGACATTTTGGGTTCTTTGGTGGAATTTTGATGGTTTGTATTGTACAATAACATTTGTAAGCTACTAAGAGCACAGATCTAAGGGATTCCTTAAGTAAGCCATCTGGAGCTCTGGGGGAAAAAAGCCAGGATGTAAATCTAAGAAATCAAAAGGCATGGAATGTTCTGTGTGTTTGTGTGTATGTGTGTGTGAGAGAGAGAGATTGAGAGAGAGAGAGAGGAGAGAGAGAAGAGAGACAGAGAGAGAGAGACAGAGAGAAGAAAGAGAGAGAAAGAAGAAAGAGAGACAGGGAGAAAGAGAGAGAGAGAGAGAGAGAGAGAGAGAGAGAGAGAGAGGAGAGAAGAAAGAGAGAGAGAGAGAGAGAGAGAGGAGAGAGAGAGAGAGAGAGGAGAGAGAGAAGAGAGAGAGAGAGAGAGAAGAAAGAAAGAGAGAAAGAAGAAAGAGAGAGAGAGAAGAAAAAGAGAGAGAGGAGAGAGAAGAAAGAGAGAGAGAGAGAAGAAAGAGAGAGAGAGAGAGAGGGAGAGAGAGGAAAGAGAAGAAAGAGAGAGAGAATGATCACTATCTCTTCTTTGTGTCTTGTGAGTCCATAGGTAGTCACCCAATTGCAGAAAACTGCAGCAAAGCCAAACAATAATTATTTATTTCCTTTCACGGTGGCGATAAGTTAGTTGTTCCTGCTCTCTGTGTTCTGTTTGTGTTCTCAATAATCCCACTTTTTTATTCCTGTGATTACTAAGCATCCTTGTAGCTCTTTTCTAATCCTCCCTTTCTACCGATGCAGAAAATGCCTCTCTCGGATGGGCTTCTGCCAAATGAAACACCTGCCTTCTCCAAAGGGGTTGCTTCTTCGCTGGACACTTCCATCTCCCCTATGGTCAACACCCCCCAGGACTATGACCCCCCTGCGCTGTTGGCCAATGGTACCATCGGCGGGAGAGAAGAAGGCGGCAGGCCAGATGGGCAGGTGCTGAGCGAAGGGGGTCTCCCTCCTCCCAGCGACACACCAAATGGCAACGGCTGCAGCCCGACCACCCTCCACGGCCTGCCTCTCTGGGGCAGTGATCAAGCCGATCTCCAGAGGGCCTGAAGCGATCTTCACCTCTGCTGGAAGAGTCATAGCAAAGGGGCAATAAAGTCTGTGAGATCCGTGGCTCTGTGCTGGGAACACCACCTCGCTGACAACGTGGCTTAGTGTTGTATTCTGTGTTCTCAAGGTGGAGGAGGACAGACCCCAGTGGGGACTTTGGGGCAAACTCCCAAGAGGTCGGGGATGACGCCGAGTTAGGGGCTGCCACAGATCACTCAAGCCAAAAAGATTTCCCAAACATTTGTTTGGGGGAAGAAAAAAACAACAGCAACAGATGTGCGCTTGGCCAGTTGATGCTATCATTGGGTCCCATAGCAGGTTGTGTCTTTTAATGGGGGGGGGGGAAGAATTTAGATAAAGGATGCTTGCATCGATGCATTTTAGAAGGGTGCTCCCAACTCCTCAAGTCCTGCTGGAGGGCTGGGTTGCTTCTGGGTAGTCCCCCCCCCTCATCCTTCTGTAAGCCCCTTTCTCTCTACAAAGTTAGAATTCCCATGTGGTCCAGCCATTCGCAAGGTGAACTTGGTCATTGTGATGCAGTATTTGGAGTGTGTGGGTTTTGTCTTTGCAAGACTTTCCTGTCTCTTGTGTCTTTTGTTTAACGCTCCTGGACAGGCCCCCCGCCCTTCTTACTTGTTGTTCTCTCTCTTCACGGGCCATGGTCTTGAATGTTTTTGTGGCATGTTAGGATAACGTCTTCAGGCATCTGCAAATATGATGGTTCATTTATCATCAGTGTCACTTTGGAGAACGTTTAGGATGGGTAGGCAACCTTGGCTCTTTTATGACTCGTGGACTTCAACTCCCAGAATTCCTGAGCCAGCATGGGGGAACTATGGCCCCTCTATGACTGGTGGACTTCAACTCCCAGAATTCCTGAGCCAGCATGGCTCAGCTTGGAAACCTCTCCCTTTCCCCTCAGCATGGCTGGCTCAGGAATTCTGGGAATTGAAGTCCACGAGTCATAAAAGAGCCAAGGTTGCCTACCCCTGGTTTAGGAACTCGGCTGTAGGAGAAGGAAGTGCAGAGCCTGGAGGCGGCGTTAAAAGAGGGATCAGCCTAGAATCCCTACGTTGCCACAAGGATCCGCTGGTGGCTGCAGAGGGATTCTAGGCTGATCCCTCTTTTAACGCCGCCCCCAGGCTCTGCACTTCCTTCTACACTGTCCAAGTTATCAAGCATCTTCCGTGGTTTAAGTGCCAGACTGCTTTCTACTCGAGCGCTCAATAATATCCTACCTAATTATCAGACCGGACCTGCTCCTCTGTAGCAGCAAAGCCTCCACAAATTGAATGCCCACCTCCGTGCGTAAGGCGCTTGACTGAAGCTTCACCAACCTGCACTAAAATGCATGTTTCACGCATGTTTGGAAGCAAAAGGAAACCCGCCCTTCCTGTTTTGTTATTTAAGGGAGGGCTTAATACCAGCAAGGAAACGCTCAGCAGAGACAGCGTGAGGCCTCTGGCTCCTGAAGTCCACCAACAGAAGCGCATGCAGATTTTGACGTTCCTTTCATCTGCTTAGTGATGCAGAGGAAGAAAAACTTCTTGGGAAAAAAACAAACCTTCGCCCTTAATATTCTCTGAAAGAAGGAAATGGTGGTGGGTTTTATGAAGATCCATCTCCCTGGACAAGAGGAGACAAAACACACTTGAGAACATGCCTCATGAATCAAGGATTTCAGCTCCGAGCTAGCTTACGGCTTCAACAGTACGACGGTTGGGGCTTGGAGGAACTCTTAATAGGAGAAAGGACGGTATTCCCTTGATAAATAAGTCATTTTTTTGGATCCTGCACCGCTAGACCCTTCTCTCCCATCTACCGCTGCATCAGTGGATCAGATCACAGTAACATTCCCGACATTCTTTAGTAAAGCAAATGACGTTCCTAAGGAGAAACATCTCGAGATGTTTGTTCCAAATATGTGGGTGTTTCTTGCCAAAAAAAAAAAAAAGTCAGCCATGGCTCTTCAGCTGCCTCTGGTGCTCAGGTTCAGAGTTCAATTTTACACACCTTCTTCCTGGAAATACTTCCTTTATGAAAAAAGCAAAGGGACTTGAGTCCTTGCAGGGCAAAATCTTGGAATCAGGCAGGCAGCTTTCAAAAAGTGTAAGTGTGTGCTTCAGAGGACGGTGTTTAGCAACCTTTCAAGGAAGCGTGTGTGCATGGATGTGTGTATGCACATGCTCACACCATCATTGTCTTCATTGTGGCGCTTCGAAACTCCCTGGAATACTATTATCCAGTATGCCTATTGGTGTGGCTTGAATGGATATGTGGGCTAAATATCTGAAATATTTTTGATTGGCATTAGCATCCCAGTAGACTCCATATCTGATGAACTCACAATAATGCAGAAGAGATTTAGACCAACTGCATGGTTGCCTGTCCACTTTAAAGTATCTCTCTGGTTGTTATGTGTGTCCGTGTTGTAGAACAACATGCCTGTTGACGTCTGTGATGTGTGTTTTTTTTGTACTACAAGGCCTAACCAATTTTAAGATGAACATACCGAGATTCCTTTTGAAAGGGTTCAACCAGTTTCCTTTTGTGGGTAGTTAAAAACTGTGTTGCATATTCAGGCTGAAATATTTTTGCAGTCCCTATAAAGTTGACTGGCTGTTTTCGTCTTGCGAGATTGTTTAAAATTGTGCGATCAGAGACTTTTGGTAATTCATCCTGAAGGTGTGTGATGAGTCCCGATTCACTTGATGCCCTGCGAAAATAAACGTAAAAATATTAGGAGATCATAGTTGTGTATATAAAGATATATTGCTGCAAGTCTTATGCTAAATTAAATTTGTAAGTATTGTGTTTTTTTTAATTTCTTATGAAAAGAATAAACTCCTCACGTTTCTAAGATGAGTCAAGGATGGTTCCTTCCATCAGTGTTATATCTGAGACCATTTTAAAATACGAGTCGTTCTGGATCCAGCACATAACCCACAAAGGACTTTTTCACAGTTGACTTTTTCTAGGTAAAGGATTTAATTTTTTTTTGTCCTTGCCATAGAACATTCTGATCTCTAAAAATCATCTGTTTAGATATGTTTTCTTAACAGACTTTCTCTCCACCTCCCTCTTTAATTTATTCTAGGATAGATTTGCTGAGTGTGGCTCATCTAGTAGTTGATCAGGTGTCCTCTGGAGCTGACAACTAGACAAAAATATCCTTTGCTCAGCCCTGTCTGGTCATAAGTACAGGAAGTCCTCGACTTACAACAGTTCATTTAGTGACTGTTCAAAGTTACAACAGCACTGAAAAAAGTGACATGAGCGTTTTCCCCACTTATGACCGTTGCAGCAGCTCCATGGTCATGGGATCAAAATTCAGATGCTTGGCAACTGACTCATATTTACGTCGGTTACAGCGTCCTGGGGTCACGTGATCCCCTTTTGCGACCTTTTGACAAGCAAAGTCAATGGGGGAAGCCAGATCCACTTAGCAACCGTCTTGCTAACTTAAAAACTGCAGTGATTCACTTAACAGAATACTGTAGTCTACATAAATGTTCCATATTGAGGGCAATTCTATTGTGGCTCCCCAGTCTTCAGTCTGAATTTTTTTTTTTTTTTGAAAATGTAAAATGAACTCTCCAAGCCATCATTTATAAAATGAGAGCGAATCCCAATGATATGGGTTAAAAAAGGAGATCTACATTCTTCTTAGTACCCAATAAGTTGAAAAACAAAAAAACCCAAAATGCTTTGAGTAATCTTTTTTTTTATGAAGACATTTTATTGGTTTTTTCATTTTTACATAAAAGTGCTTGAGAAACAACGTGGTGATTGGGCTATCAATTATCTAAGAACAAAATCATACATATATCACACAGATTAATTCCTTAAAAGTTCCCTCTCTATTTCCCACATATTATTTTACCAATTAAAATTATTACATTTGTAAAAAAAGCTCAATCAATCAGTCATCAATCACATTTCAATTATAATAATCCAAGTCCTGTTTTTAAGCTTTACTATTTTGAAAATTACCATATTCCAGTTAAGCTTATGTAGACATATTAACACTTCGGGTATCCCTCATTTCTCTTTTCCCTATCATGATGATTCTATCTAAGATAAATATATTATCCCAAAAAGCAACATCCTTACATTTTTTTAGATATAGCCTATTGCTTAAACTAATTCATCATTTATTAATACTATTACTTCTCTTATCACAAATACCTCCTCTTCTCCCTCTATTACAAAATAGTTGTCTTGGTTAAAATAAAGATATCAGTCCAAAAAACTACATTTCTGTCTATTTTAAATACATAGTCTATCAATCAATTAAGTAAAATTTACCCCTCCAACTACTTGTCATCTCTAATACTCTTTGAGTAACCTTTTGAAAGGGTTCTAAAGTGACCCATTTGGGGGGAGTGGAGGAGGAGATAAATTCACAAAAAGAAGCATCGACCTGGAGAAGCTCCTGTCTAAACTTAACTTCCTAGATTCTAGAACGATAACCTCCGTGCCAGATTTTCTTCGTGGGAGTGAGATTCTTGGGTGGGCACCCATTTTGAAGGGGAGGTAAAGCAGCTGAGAATTGGTCTAAAAATATTCCTGGCCTTTCTGCACTATAAATACACCTCACTTTGCATTTGCTTTTTTTTTTTTTTTTTTTTTTTAGTGAATTGCATCTGTGATAGCTCTCGCAGGAGTCATTTGCTGAAGCTCTGATCTTTAATGATGGGAGACTCCCACAAAAGAGGTTTTGGCAGATTTTTCCACTCCAGTCCCATCAAAACAATGTTTCCCTGCTTGTAATATGTGAGAAAAGGGCTCGACACATTTGTGTGATCTGTCCTCGCATCTGCATCCCTGCCAAAAAACTTAAATTTTCCAGGAATCCGTCTCTAACTTGACCCTGACGAAAAGGTTAAAGAAGATATGTTCAATTCCACGGGCACAATCCGTTTTCTTAGCAGTCATAGGAATTATTGTATTTCTTTGGATTTTTCCGATTTCTCGTTTGCATTGATTCTGATTTTTTT